AGGCTCGGCGGAGTCCCTGGTTCCAGACCCCCTCCCCCGGGCGGCGGGACCCTGCCAATAACCGGAGGAGGAGGCTGAAGCCCAGGGAGGGAAAAGAAAGCTGGCGGTCAAAGGTCAGTGGGGGCCTGAGATTGAATCCAGGGATCTTTGGCAGTGCCCCCCACCCCGCCCCAGGAGAATGCAGGAGTCTGGATAATGTGAGAACTGCCGCAAAGTGGGAGAAAATCTTGCTGTTTGAAAATTCTAATTAACGGAGGCTGGGATAATTTGACGTGGGGACTCTGGCCGGCGCCCTGGGCCCTTCCTGCTGTCCACTCCTAGGCCACACTCTGCTGCTGCCTGCTGCACAGCGCTCAGGGCTGGGAGCCAAGGAGACAGGACGATGTAGGCACCCGAGAGTGAGCGGGAGCACGCGGTGGAGGCGCCGCCTGAGTATCTACAAACCTCACACTCCTGACATCTCCAAATAAATACCGTAAATCTGAGGAGGATTACCTTAAACAAAACGTGAGGCTGTTCCCTGGCCGCAGGGGGGGAGGTGGATGGGACAGCCAGCCTAACCTTTGGTTACCTTACAATTGCTACACCCTCAGAGAAGAGCTGGCTGGTGCCAGGGACCCTTGGGTTCCCATCAAGTTAACACCCACGCTAAGGGCTTCTGCCGGGCCCTGTGGGGACAGATCCAGTCACCCTGTGAGGGACACATTCAGAGGATGAGCAGTCCTCCCTGTTCCCCATGCGTGGCAGGACTGGGACCTTTGTGCACCGCCCTGAGCATAGAACATTCTAGCAGCAGAATCAGAAAGCAGTGTCCCCTGCTGGTGCCTCCTCCCCGGGAGTCTGGGCTCAGGAGTCAGGGGACAGTCACCTGGTGGAGTCCTAACTCATGGTGGATTCCAGAGAGTGATTAGGAGCTTGCTGAGAAGCCCACATCTGTCCCTGGAGGGCACTAGAGGCTGTGTGATCAGGGCCGTCCAGGTCCCTCCAGAGGCCACACTCACTTTGTAGGGCTTTAACATCAGACACTGGTTGTGCTGGGGTCAAGATAAAAACTCATTTTTCTTGGAAGGGTCTAATAGCTAATGTGACACATAGCAATAGCTCAATTGTGTAAATACACAGAGAAAATTTTAGAATTCTTACCGTTGGAATGATGAACTATAAACCAAAAAGGCTCAAGGGAAAAAAATGTAAATAAGTACTGGGACTATTTTTAACCATCATTGTTTACCTTTTTGGGACAGGGATGGGCCATTATATATTGAGCCAGCCTTAAAATGCACATTACTGAATGCATTATTATTAGCAGAATTATGTTAAGCAGCCATTAATTGATGTTGATTCATTCAGGTTGAAGCCACTTTTCCTGCTTTTCATTTTCCTGGTCCCATTAAGTTGAACAGGAATAAAACCCTTCAGTTGTAGCCAACATATGCAAAAACACCAGTCACAGACCCAGACCTTAAATATTTTTTAGTGAATACCTGAACCAGCTTGGTTTTTTTTTTGTTTTTTGTTTTTTTTTTTAATGTTGGTCTCTGCTGCTATTTTGGTAAATGTAATCATATCGGGAGGATGTCAGGCTGGGGAAGTCTGGGCTGCCCATGTGGCTGGAACCAGGAGAGTGGTCTGGAGCCCCCATGGTCTTAAGACCCCCTGCTCATGCTGGAAAGATATTTATGTCAGCAGCAGAGCAGGGCAAATGGCCTGCGCAGGGAGATTGGCCTGTGTGTCATTATAACACACAGCCATCATTACAGAATACAGTAATCACACGGCACAATGCTTGTAATTATGGCAAATGGTTTCCCTTTTCAGGAGGGCTGCAAGGGAGGGAGGAAAGACAGCTTCTGGTGAGGCTGGGGCCAGTGCTCAGCTTCTGGGCTTGGCCCAGGTTTTAAAAATAGGGCTTTGCAGGGTGAGGCCTTGGACCCAACTGGGACTGGCCCTGTGTTCCCCAGATCTGTGGTCTTATCAGACTGGGGGCTGCAGGGACTCTGAGCTTGTGAGTGACTCATGGAGCCACCAGCAAAGTACTCAGGCCTCCCCTGCTTGGTGGCAGGAGCATATCAGAGGCCAGCAGTGACTAGCAATGTGACTAGCAGTGATACTGCTTACAGCCACAGCCCTCTGTGTGCCTCACGAGGTACTCCCTGCTTTGTCCATGACATTTAATGGATCCTCAGATAAACCAGGAGGTACCCAAGCTGCCACATATACCCTGCCCCCACTGTCACTTGTCTTCAGAACACACTGGAGGTCACAGGTCATTTACATACTGATTTCTCAGGGTCTCGAAGTGGAAGTCTGTTTGCGGTTCAGCTTGGCTCTAATCACCTGCCCTGGGGAGGGCTCTTTTCTGCCCTGGCTGAGGAACCTGAGGCACAGCACTTGGGGAAGGCAATACATCTGGAGGAAATAAATGTAGGGTCTCAGCAGTTGAGCAGAGAAGGGCGATTCCCAGCTGGGGCAATTTACCTCTCAGCACCTCTGTTTGTGCATCTGTAAACTGGGCCTTGGCAAGAGTTCCTGTGAAGCTGGAACAAGAATCCAACTTCCAGGCTAGGACCTGGTGCATCAAAGGGACAAGAGGGCATCATTTTTTCCATCAGTCTGCTCAGTGGGGGTTTTGGGGTACATATGGGGGCCTGGAAACTGGAGAGTGGGTGAGATTCCCCAGGTTTTGGGTGGCTTCAGGGGCTAGGAAGAGGTGGCTCCAGACACAAAGGTGGGGAAGTGGGTGCCTGAGCAGGGATGAAAGTGGCCCTTGTGGCGAGTAAGTGACGAGGGGTCTGGGTGGCAGCACTGAGCAGGGCTGAGGGGGATTTTTTTTTTTCTTTTTAACTGTATGGAGTAAGATTCATATGATGTGACAAATGCCATTGTAAAGCGTGCAGTTATACCAGTTAACTTGTCATACATCAGCAGCACTGTGCAATGGTGGCTTCCATCTGTCTAGTCCAGAGCACTTGACCCACCTGGGGAACAGATACAACTGTCCCAGACCCCATCCTGACAACTGCGAATCTGCTCTTTTTTCCTGTCGATTCATCCTCTCTAGACCTTCTGTATGGGTGGAGTTGCACACGATGTGGTCTTATGCAATTTGTTTCTTGCTCGTTTGTGTGTTTCGGTCCTTGCTTCTTCCCTTGGCTGAATAGTACGCATGTTGTGACTGTGCCGTGGTCTGTGTAGGCATCGATTCCTTGGTGGACAAGGGTTGTTTGAAAGGCTCTCTGGAAGGGACCAGGGAGATCCCACTCAGGCACCTGCATGGCCCAGAGCTGGGTGATGGCCGAGGTGGGCCTGAGCTCGGTGAATGTAGGGGGACAGGAGAGGCCGAGGAGGGCTGAGGCCGCTTCCCTTGCACAGCCTCTGGCAGCTGCTCCCTGCTGCTACTGGTGGGGTGAGACCCTCTGTCCCAACGTGGAGGGCCTCTATGGGCTCAATCTGCAGACAGGCCCGGGCGGATGAGGCCAGCCGCCCATCTGTGCTTCCCCCCAAGGAAGCCTGTTTATTTAACAAACACTTAGGGCGCATGGACTGTGCACCAGGCTCTGTTCCAAGCTCCTTAGAATTATCTTCAGAGCGAGTCCGCACAGCAGTTCTCGGAAGTATGAGCTGCTGTTGTTCCCATGTTATAGATGAGGAAACTGAGACTCGAGAGGCGAGGACCTGAGTCCGAGGTCACACAGCAGTGATGGCTTGGGGATTGGAACTCAGGAGGCCTGGCTCTGGAATCTGCTTTGCCCTTGTGCTGTGAGGCAGCAACATTTCCTGAATGTGGTCCCAGGGCTCCAGATGGAGAGCTTCCTGTGCTGAGATTGTGTCCTTTTCTTTAATCCAACTCACTATTTCAAACTTCACCTTTGCTTTGCAATTGTGGTAAAATATACCTAATAACACCTACCATTTTAACCATGTTTACGTGCACAGTGCAGGGGCATTTCAGTACATCCATGCTGTACCTTACCACCGGCTACCTCCAGAACCTCCTCATTCCCCAAACTGAAGCTCTGTCCTGGTTAAACCCTGATTCCCATCCCTTCCAGCCTCAGGCACCCTCATCCTGCTTCCTGTCTCTGAGGACTCTGGGGACCTCCTAGAAATGGAATCCTGCAGGATTTGTCCTTTTGTAACTGGTTTTATTGCACTAAGCATCATGTCCTCCAGGTCCATTCTTGGTGCAGTGTGCGATGGAACATCATTTCTTTTTTAGCATCTTCAAATCTTATTTTTAAGGAATGTCTAGAGTCCTTATTGGAAAAATCAAAAATAAGAATCACTGGCCAGGACAGAAGGTGATAGTTTAGCCAAGCTTGATAACCATACAATCATGTGGTTGGAGCCACCTGGACCCCGTGGGCGCAGAGCACCTTGGGTGGGGCAGGCGGTGAGGGACCTGCCACACCCCAGCCAAGACTGTTGCCTGGACGTCCTCAGAAGACCTTGACAGAAAGTGAGAGCGGGACTGTGTCTGACCACGCGCTGCTGGTCCGCCGCTAGCCAAGTCCTTGCGACGCGTACCCTGGGTTCCCTTTGCACCAGGAGGAGGTACAGATTGCTGCTGGCTGTGGACCTCCATTTGGGGGGAAAGGCAAAATAAGGATGGCTTCTGTGTGCTTCGTGGGTTTTGTGAGCTGACACCAGGCCCTCATACTTGTCATCTGCCTTATAAGACACGCGGCTAGACTAGCCCAGACTCCGAGAACTCCTGTCATACCGTGCGGCCAGAATTAAATATTCACCTTATGAGCTTTATCTCTATTGTTACCTCAACCATGTGGCATATGGCTGGAT